GTATATATATGTATATATATATACACATTTATGTGCTCTATTTTCTGGGAAGTATACACGTTTTACGGTGAGGGGTTAGAACTTATTTATTAAATGGTTTTCAAGAAACTTTGTTTTTGCCCACTCACGTTTTTGTTTTGCGCCCCTCCAGGTTCTAGTTGATTAGCACGTTTGGTGGTTTCCCTGAGGGCTTTCCCGACATATCTGACAGACGATCACCAGCGTAGGACCACCTTCGGGTGTACTGTTGTTGCATCTTTTTCTTTTGGACTACTTTAGGCTTATTTCTCTGAATTCGTGTCTGACTTACACTAGCACTTGTGCTATTACCTTATGTATGCTAGTTTTTATTTATTCGTACTATTTACATTATTATTTTATTAGCTTCCGCACTGTGCACATGGTTACGTCACTTCCATGTGACGGCCAGCATGCCCTGATTTCGAACGGGGTGTGTCATTGCTCCTTCTTTATCTCCCACTAAGGTCTCAAACATCATTTGTGGAGGAAAATGGGTTATTCCTTCCTTTTTCTTTTTTTGATACTTTTCCAAAGTTGGCTAAAGATATTTTAAAGATGCCTCTTCCAATTGATGAGGAAAATGATATGTTAGTTTGGGAAGCTTCTGCATTTGGGTTATTTTCGTTTTCTGATGGCTATGAAATTGTTGGTCATCGATTTCATGTTAAAATTTGGGCTTTCATTATCTTGCGTTCTTTCATCCCACCGCGTTACCCCATTTTAGTTTATTGGAGGATACTTTTCAATAAGCTACCCAAATGAGGATTAACTGTAGAGACGGGGCATTCCTCTGGTTCCAATATGCCACCTATGTTACAATAATTTTGAATTTATTGAGCACTTATTTTTTTGTTGTGAATTTGCATATTGTGCTTGGTTTTGGCTTGCTACTCAATTTGGAACCATTCTTCCGCTTACAGGCTTATTCTCAGATTTATGGCTTTATTTTGTGTCAAAATGATGTTCTCCACAACTTCGTAATGTCTGGCTATCATTAGGATTTTTCTTATTAATGGCTATTTGGAAGATACCTAATAAGGTGAAGTTTGAAAGGCTGTCTTCTTCCTTTCCACACATTTGTCGCTCTACTTTGGCCTGGATTAGGTAGATTGAAGTTTTCACTCCTACTCATGTACGTGGTATTTTGGATAAACAACTTTTAGTATCTCTTGGAATCTTGGTTGAGTCTTGTAAAGCTCATTCTATAGTTCCTGTTCTTTGGCATCCCCTTCCACTTCCTTAGGTCAAAGGGAGTACGGTTGGCCTTGTTAAAGGTAACCCAGGTTCTGTGGCTTGTGATGGGGTTTTCGAGATTCTGCAGGTTATTTTGTTGGTGGTTTCTCCCTGAGTTTAAGGCATCATACTTCTTTATACACGGAGCTTCATACTGTCATCCTTGCTGTGAAGTTGGCCTCGTGCGAGGCTAGCAAATTTTGTGGCTTGAAAGTGACTCTTATAGTGTGAAATCTTGCTATGCTCCTGGATCTTTTTTTCCTCCTCGGCCACTCTCCTATTCTTGATGTGTGATTTTCTTTTTTACCTAATCCTTTTGGGTTTTCCTTTTTGTTTGCAACTTATCTTTCATGTAACTTTTTAGGCTTTATTTTGGAGGGGATTGACCCTATGTCCCCTCTACTACTTGTATTTTCTTTTCCAAGAAGGATAAAGTTTATATCCCCTTCTTTTCTTGTATTTTTTTTTTCAAGAAGAGTAAGGTTTATGTTCCCCTTATTTTCTTGTACTCTGGTTTTCTTATTTTATGAGGGATAAGGTTTATGTCCCCTCTGATTAGGCGTAACTATTTTTTTTTTTCCATATCAATAAAACTCCCTCACACTGCAGAGATTTTTTTCAAAAAAAAAAAGAAAAAAAATAAGAGACGATAGTCAGTCGGAAATCTCATAGTCGACTTAATGCTCTTTATGCATGTCGTGTTCCTCTTCTGACTAACCTAAGATCTATTAGAGCCACTTTAGGAGTGGATTACCAGGGAGCCCTACTTGCCAATTTTCAAGTCAGACCAATTTTATTGGATCATGTTCTTGAGGCTCAGATGAATGACTTAGAATCCCACGAGTTAAACCAAGTGGTGTTAAATGGAAATAGGGGAGATCTAAAGATTCAAAGGCCTGATGGTATGCTTATGCAAGGCGACTGAATGTATGTACCAAATGTGGAAGAACTGAAGAAAGAAATACTCAATGAGGCGCATATTTCAGCTTATGCGATGCATCCCGGGAGTACTGAAATGTATCATACTATCTGACCTTTCTACTATTGGCGAGGAATGAAAAGAGAAATTGCAGAGTACGTGAGTTGTTATCGGTTTGTCAGCAAGTCAAAGCGGAAAGAAAGAAACCATTCAGGTTGCTACAACCGCTTCCCATACCTCAGTGGAAATGGGAAGATATCACATTGAATTTCGTGTACAAGCTGCCTTGTACACATAATGGCTATGACAATATCTAGGTGATTGTAGATCGGCTTACCAAGTCAGCGCATTTCCTACCTGTTTGTGAGAACTACCCGTTAAGTCGGTTGGCCAAACTTTTTGTTTCTGAAATTGTCAAGTATCATGGTGTTCCAGTTAGTATTATTTCTGATCGAGACCCCAGATTTACTTCAAAATTTTGGGTAGCTTTTCAAGAAGCTACAGGTTCGAAATTACTCTATAGCAGCACCTATCATCCTCAGACCGATAGGCAATCAGAGAAAACTATTCAGACGTTGGAAGACATGTTTAGATCTTCAGTCCTGCAGTTCGGAGACGCATGGCACAAGCGATTACCTTTGATAGAATTCGCCTACGACAATAACTTTCACTCCAGCATTAGCATTTCACCATTTGAGGCGTTGTATGGGAAAGCTTGTCGTACACCATTATGTTGGTCTGAGGTTGACGAAAGAATTTTGGTGGGCCCTAAAATTATGGATGAGACAACATAGAATATCCAAGTGATAAAGGGTAATTTGAAAGTAATACAGGATCGACTAAAGAGTATAGCAGACAAACAGACATTTGACAGACAGAGTATATAAGGTTGGAGATTGGGTATTCTTAAAGTTGTCACCCTGGAAAGGCATTGTACATTTCGGGAAGAAAGGAAAGCTAAGTCCTCGTTACATCGGACCATATCAGATTATTAAGCGAGTTGGTGAAGTTGCTTACCGACTTGATCTACCTCCAGAATTGTCAAGAGTGCATAATGTGCTCCACATGTCCATGCTACGAAGATACCTCTCTGATCCGTCACATGTGATTCCTCCTCAACCGTTAGAAATTGATCCAGATTTGACTTATGTTGAGGTTCTAGTGACGATTCTTGATTGGAATGACAAAGTTCTCAGGAACAAAATCGTTCGTATGGTGAAAGTCTTATGGAGAAACCACTCTGTTGAGGAAGCTACTTGGGAGATAGAGGAGCATATGCGAGATCTTTATCCATGTCTGTTTTTTAACTACGATCTTTAGTGGTGTTGAAATTTCGAGGATGAAATTTTCTTAAGGAGGGTAGGTTGTGACGACCCATCCCTCATTTTCCATATAATTTTCTCTTCGAGTGTGTAAATTGACGTTTATGCCCTGTTTGGCAAAAGTGGAACCTGAAGTGGACATAATTATTCGGCTTTTAATTTATTTTTCTCGTTACCCTAACTAATTAATATTCATTGTTACAAATGCATGAGCGCGAGTTGCGAGTTAGACCCGAATCAGATTTGTATCGAAAAAGTTACGTTTAGTTAAAGTATGTAAACAACGAGTAGAATTGTACACGTGTGCGTTAATTATTTAGTACTAGAAACTATAGTTTTTGATTGGGTACGTTAGATTTTGTCTGATTTCAAATTGTACAAATCTTATCACTTTTTCCCATTTTAAAAGTGTGTCTCATGACTACACTTCACCACCAATCAATCACTATCCTCACTTCCCTCACCCAATCAGACAGCTTCCCTCTCTCTTCTTTTCAGCCAATCAAAAAACACTTACACTGTGTTTGGATGGAGAATTTCTAAATTATCACAGAATTTTAAGTGACGGGAATTACAATTGACAGTAATTAAATTCCCGTTAATTGAAATTTCATCGTTTGGATGTTGGATACATAGAAATTACAAAATGAAGGGAATTCCAAATTTCATTGTTTGGATATTCTTCAGAATTTGTATTAAATAGAGGAATACAAATTTGAATAAAAATGTTAAACTGGTTATAAATCATCAAGGTTAAAGTCATCAAACAAAAATCATTGAGCTATGAGAAAATACGTTTCTTTCCCTGAAAAAAACCTTGAATGCATTATCCAAGCTTCCACACTTGGAGTACATATCTATCAATGTAGAACCCACAAGAACATTCCAAAACCGGATTTCTCAACAATGTCTCGAACCCAATTAGCATACTTAGACGCACCTAATTGTGCAGAAGCCGAAATGAGACCAACCAACGTAATCTCATCAGAGTAAATTTTCCAACAATTAATAGCTGCAATAATGTGATGAGTTTGCAATAATGTGATAAAGTTGATTGAAGTAGAAAAATCCCAGTAAAGCACACTTGCAAATGTCAATGAACTTTCATGACATGCAAGGCTTTTATTCTAACTAAAATCTTACTGGAAAACACTAAAATGGGAAATATAATGAAAATAATCCTATGCGCCTCGTGAAGTAAACAATAATACCATATTCTTTTTCTTCTTGACTGGGAGTGTCTTCAACATGAGAAATTGCTTGTCATTTTCGATCAACCAAGCACATGCTTTGATTTGTTCTTCTTCACTGAGATCTGGTATTGCATTTACTTCATCATATACCTCTGTTGGATCAAGCTTCTTTGTGTCTGCACAAATATATTCTTGAGAGAATGAAGCCATCTTGGCAAGTGAATCTGCAATCATATCTTTAGGGGTGGTTGGTTTTTTCTTTGTATGGGGCACATCAACAAAATTTGTTGGCTTTCTCTTACTTTGAGTCTTCTAAACATTGGCTGAAGTAGGTGATATATCATTAATAATTTCAATATCTTCTAAACCTTGCGTATCACCATCCAAATCAATATGATTAGTTTCATTATGCGGAGGAGTCATAATCTCAACAGCTTCCACACCTGTTTCAGCACCCTCACCCGTGGCTTTATCTTTGCCACACAAATCCACTATATCATCCCAATTTGGAATGACCTTCCAACGAAAACTTTTAGCGCCACTATGTGACTACCAATCAAAACATAAAAATCAAAAAAGCAAACCGTAAGTATAAGAAGAGTTAAAATAATATCACACACACAAAAGAAAAATAATGAATTTGACATACCTTCACGTACTCTTGCCAGACATGATCTTCATCTGCACTTATCATCTTTTTGGTTGCATCCCAACTAAATCCACTTTGACTTACTATATCACTCACAATTGCATAGAACTTTTTCCAATACTTCACACGATTTTGAATGTTATCAGCAGTTACATGAATATCAAATTGAGCAGATAATATAGATGCAGCAGAATTATAAGCAGCTGTCTTCCAACCACCATCTCCTTTGTTACCCAATCTTCGTTCTTCACGAAGTATGTCAGCCAAAGCATGTTCCATATCTACATTCCATCTAAAATAATTATTTTCATCTCCTTCATTTTTAATTTCTTGGTTCTCTTTCTTTCTCCTTGGTTTTTGTTTGCATACTGGTTTTCTATCGGATCCTTCCATTGCTCCTAACATTAAACAAATATTAATTGAAATTTTAATTCATTCGTAAACCCATGCATATCAAGAATCAGAGTAGCATTATTCACTAATACAACACAATCAATATAAAATTTGAAAACCAGGGCATTCCATAAAATATAAAAACTAATGCATTTCATAGCATGCATATCAAGAATCAGAGTATTAGCATTCATTGAGACAATATAATCAAACCAAAATCTGAAAACCGGGGCATTCCATAAAATTTAAAAACTTAATGCATTTCGTAGCAATAATGTCATTGACAAAATTATTAACTGAGACGTTAAAGATAACATGCTAAGAAAAACAACTAATTTTCGATTAAGAAGTATTGGCAACTCTCTGAGCTTGGTAATCATGGAACATATGCAATGCCAATGTATCACGAAACGCTGTCCATTCGGCAGTAGCTTGAACAGATGTAATCCCATCAGAGTTATTTTCATTTTCCTCTCTTGTTGAACAATTTAACAACTCTGAGTCCACAGATGCCAAAAATTGTAAATCTTGAGCTTCTAGAACTGGATCAGCTGCTTGCTCAGTTCTAATAAAATTATGCAAGATACAACATGCATTTATAATCCTAACTTGTGTTTTAATATCAAAAAAGGATGGTGTGCGTAATATGCTCCATCGCTTTTTTAACAATCCAAATGCCCTCTCAATAACATTCCTTGCCCTTGAATGACGCAAATTATATAATTCTTTGTAGTTTTCAGGTCGACGGTTTCCAACCCACTCTTTCAAGTGATATCTAGTTCCACGGTAAGGTGCTAAAAACCCCGGTCCATTAGTATAACCAGCGTCCACAAGAAAATACTTATCTACAATAAAAATTTAGAGAACAAATTTAGATACATTTTAATGTTTTGTTTTTCTAACATAGAACTAATTGGTATCACACATTACCATTTGGAACATGAAACCGGTTACTCTTATGTAAAGCATCACGCAAAACACGAGCATCAGATGCAGAGCCTTCCCATCCAGGTAACACATAAAAAAATCTTAAATCTGGACCACAAACTCCTAACATGTTAGTGGATATATCACCCTTTCTATCTTGATATCTTGGTCTTTCCTCAGCCGTTATTGTTACCGGAATGAGAGTTCCATTAAGTGCTCCAAGACAATTCTAAATAAAAATGTCATACAATGAAAAACAGATTAAAGTCTAAAAAGCCAGTGAAGATATCAAACAAACATATAATTTTTTTCAGAATTACCTCAAACCACCGCCACTTCTCTCTTTCAGAATTACCAATAATGCATGGTTGATATTTCACATATTCTTGACTTATTTTCATCATTGCATGATAGGAGCATATTTAGGCGACTTACTTAGCTTGTTTTCGTGCATCTATGTTGTTAATTCATAGTTGTTTTAGTAGTTTAAGCCATTTTCGTGTGTTTTTAGGTTCATATGGCTAAGGAAGCAAAAAGATGCATTTTGGAGCATTTTGGAGCAAAATTGGGCTTGGAATGGATAACATATGTTTGGAGCCAAAGTGTTGGACGAATTTGAAAGCCTTGTATGCACTTTGGACATAAAACAAAGGGCCTAGCCCAATCAAACAATCCTTTGAGCCATGCAAAACCTCTAGCCCAATCAACAAGCCTTAGCCACATGCATCACAACCCCAAAACCATCAAGAAACACCCATTCACACACACATGCACTCACATGCATTCACATGCATTTCCACCTTCCCACTTCATCATTTCACCACATTCTCCTTCTTTAACTCACATGCACTCACTCTTCATCATTGCATTCATTCTCCAAACACTCCCTTGTTGCCGTGGCCTACCCTTCCTTTTCCAAGCTTTTCATCATTCATCACACTATCCTTTGCCATGCAATGAATCATCCATACCATACAACAATTCCATGCCGTGGCCTTCACTTCCATTTTCAGCAACACCTTTCCAACCTAGCTAGCCCTACATGCATTATTTATTCACTCTTCATCATTGCATTCATCACCAAAGAACTCCCCACTTCATCCATTCACATGCATTCACATGCACCACTAATCCCTTCACTTTCATGCCATCATTTATTCCCCCCCCTTTGCCGTGCAATGCACATCAACACATTCCAGCTTTTCTCCTTCTCTTTGCAGCCACAAGTCACATGCATTCACTTCATCATTACACCACCACTCATTCTTTAATCCAATGCATATTCAATCATTCACTCAAGCACCTTTGTGCCATGTTTCCCCCTTGGTTCCCACCCATCACATGCATCATCATCAAACAAACACTCAATGCCGTGCACTTCCCTTTCAATTCCAACACCTTCACATGCAATTCCAGCTTGCATATGCTTTCCTAGCTGTTTGTTCATCATTAATTAGCCACTTGCATGCTTAAACAAACAGCCATTTACACCTTCATTCTCCTATAAAAGCCCTTGCATTCTCATCATTCAATTCATTCCTCATTTCATACACAACACACCACAAACACACCATTTCCCAAACCTTTGCCGTGCATATCCTTCCATTTCTGTGCAGTTTTTCTCCTTCATTGCAGCCACTATCCAACCACTTCCCATCCCTCCAAAACACTTCACAACATCACACACCTATCCTTAGACCTTGTGCTACAACAACGAGGAAGAGAAGAGTGCCTAAACGTTCATACAATTCAAGTTTGAGTTGTTGGAATGTTTAGGTGTTTCTTTGATTTCAAGGTCTAATTTCAATTCTCTTTGTTTTGTAAGTATGAGGAACTAAACCCCCCTTAGCTAGGGGGTGATTCGAAATATATGTTTATGCTTGCAATATGATTTGATTACTTTTAATTACGTTTCATAAGTTGTGAATTCAATTTGTTTAACTATTTGATTGATATGCTATTTATGTATGTTTATTAAGAATGAATGCTTAATTTTCATGCATGAATATGACGCTAGAATATAAGTGAGTTTCACGTAATAGTTATGAACTTATATTCACAAGTAGTGGAGGTTGCTTATAAACAATCGCGTTAAACAAATTCTTGGCATAAGTTTCATGCAATCATAGTAACGAATGCCTCGTCAACACTTATAGTTTTCATGTTGCTTAATGATTCTTGCTTGTATCTCTATTATGCAATTCATGTAGGGAACTTGTGAGGAATGCTTTGGATTGTCGTATGCAATCATCCAATTCATTAACTTAAGGAAAACTTGACGGTTAATTTAAGCGGACCTAATTAACCCGGGGTGTTGAGAATTCATGGTTTATTAAAAAGCAATTAGAAATCGTTTCGTATGCAAGTATAACATGTGTGGCGATGAACCCCTTAGCTAGCTTCCCATCCATTCATTTCCGTCAAATCCATATTTACAATTTGTTTTATTTCCAAGTTTCCATTTTAGTTTAAATTCGTCCAAATCCAATCTCCCCCCAATTTCGTTGAAGTCTTAGTCTTAATCTTTCTTATTTTTAGTTTTGCATTCTTTGAGCATTAAATAGTGTTTTATATTGTGTTTTTACGTTTTTAAGTCAAATTCAAGTATCCATTTTAGTTTAAAGTCGTCCAAATCCAATCCCCCTTTACTTTATTGTTCAATTTAGTTAGAAATCAATTTAGTTTGTGTTTTTAAAGCATTTTGAGTCTTTTGGTTTGTCTTAGTGTTTTAACGTTTAGTTTCACATTCTTTGAGTCTAGTTTAGTGTTTTATCTTGTTTTTACGTTTGTGAGTCAGTTTCCAAGAGATTAACAATCCCTCCTAATCCCCGGTCCAGAACGATCCCTACTTATACTTATACTACAATTGACAAAAAGAGGGTTTAATTTGTGTGCGTATAAATCTCGCATCATTGCATGCAACACATTGTGAAATTGCCGACTAATTGTTTCCTTGGAACGATAATAGGGAAAACCGACGACTCTAAACTTCAAGTTGTGGGCAAGTATATGCAAAAAAATTGCAACAGATTCTTCAATGGACACATGTCTAGTGCGAACTAATCCACCAATCCCTTGTAAAATTTCACATAACCGTTTAAATGCACTCTTGCTAACTCGTAATTGTTCAATGCAAGTTGAATCTTTTCCATTAAACAATCGGCCGAGGAAAGATTGTCTTTCTTGATCCCAATCATTTGAAGGTTCTTTGAGAAGAACACTCTTACTATACCAATGCATGACAATGACAATAACATATATAATCGTACCGACAATAATTTTCCTCTTTTTCCTATTTTCCTCTTCATTTATAGCACGCTTTCGCTTTAACCTCGTTACCATGTCTACAACATCAGTATTTTCCATACCTGTTTGAATATATGAACAAGGATATATTGTGACATGCAACAACAGTTATGGGATATGCAACTTTCTGTTTTAACCAAAAGAGTAGCCATACAAGTCACATTCAAATCAAGGAACTTTCTAAATTAACACCAAAGGCGATTAAAATCATCATTTTCAATCTTTTAATTACTGCTTCAGTGGCTTAACAGAATCATCATTTTCATATTGCTACTTCTGCTTGTCACATTCAAATCAAGGAACTTTCTAAATTAACACCAAAGGTCATCACCCATCAAAATCATCATTTTCAATCTTCTAATTACTGATTCGGCTTAACAGAATCATCATTTTCATATTGCTACTTCTGCTTGTCACATTCAAAACAAGGAACTTTTTAAATTAACACCAAAGGCCATCAAAATCATCATTTTCAATCTTTTAATTCCTGCTTCGGTGGCAAACAGAATCATCATTTTCATATTGCTACTTCTGCTTGTCACATTCAAATCAAGGAACTTTCTAAATTAACACCAAAGGCCATCAAAATCATCATTTTCAATCTTTTAATTCCTGCTTCGGTGGCTTAACAGAATCATCATTTTCATATTGCT